CACACTTACCACTGATAGAGCTGCAGAGGGGGCCAGAGCCACATGTAGACAATATGGGGTCAGAGACGCCGCTGCAGAGGACAGTGGGGGAATTGGGTGTTGATGTGGGCGAGCTTGGTGTGGACAGCCCCAGCCGCTCAGCTAATATGGTGGAACCTGCACCATGAGAAAAGACACCCACAATTACTTTCAAAAATTGGGGCTGACGAGGCACTGAGGATATTTGGCAGGGGGTGCAGCTCTCAGCACTTGTCAGGATTTGTGTCTCATCAGCATGAAATCTAGGGAAGAGATAAAGGGGGAAAAAAACCCTCATATGCCTTTTTAAATGCTAGCAGCTGGCCCTGAAGAGACATAGAGCTCCCACAGCCCCTGAAATTTGCTGGAGCTCCTTTAGTCATCATAAACCTTTGTTTCTGCCCTTAAATATGTCTCAAGTCATTAAGTGCAGTTACTTTCCTTATGGTTTCATGCTCATGTGCACCCTCAGTACTATATCCAGCAATGGGCTTGTAGCCAGCAGAGGACACAGCCTGCAGCAGGGTGGGCTGGACTCCAGCACAAGACCGTATCACCTTGTCAAAGCACTCTACGCTAACCCAGCGCAAAGATGCATCATCTCAGGCTCTGACAAATTCATGCAAAGTCATTCAAGGACTTCCCAGACACAAACACAAAGTTTTGGCAATCAGGAAAACTTAGCTCTGCTCACTGCTCTGTTGTAGGGTGGCCTCTGTCAGAGGCAGGGATAGCAGGTGAGGACAGAAATCTGGGTAGAAACCTCTTCAGGCCAGCCAAGAGACAAAATGCATTTGGCTCTGGGATGAATAAGGACACCTCTCCCTCTCACACAGGAACGATTTCGCTGCTTTCTGCATGTCTGGATGTGATGGCTCAAGAGTGCAGAGCTCCTTCAAGTCCCTTCTAGGCATCGCCAGCTCCACCACCTCCGGCTCTCACTGCCCACCATTACCTCTGTGTTAGTGCCAGAAAAGCCAGCTCTGCCCTACAGCCTGCTTGGCACCCTCCCTCTTGTCTTAGCCTCTTTCTTTTGCTGTTATAATAATAAGTCTCTTAAAGCCCCTTCCAGAAGGGAAAAAAAAATGGGAATGCTTAAAACTCTAGCTGCTGCAAAAGTTTTGTAGGGGAATTTCATTGTTAAAGATGCAGCCTGGTCTTCAGTAAGACAGTGGTGAGACAGTGGCATACAAGTGCATGAACCAGGGTATGGTTCTTTGTGGTAAGAACTAGTTTGCCTGTGATTTTAAAGTTAAAGTTTCTAGTTCCCCAGCTATGAAGACAACCAGGGTAACTCCAAATCAGAATTAAAATACTAAGACTTCTTCATGTTACCATATAAGGAGTTGAGAGACACAGAGGGTTTGGATCCGCAGTGTCCTCGATGAGTCGGAGACTACTCTCCAGAGAAAAAGCAGCAGTAGGAGGCCAGGAAAAACCCTGGGCACCAGAAAGGTCCTTCAGTTGCTATTTGCAGAGAGGTTACCGAGCCAAGGAAGACCACACCTGGGAAGCAGGGACTCCAAGTGCCAACTGTGGATTGGGCAAAAAAAAGCAAAAGCACAGCAGCAGCCACCAATGCCAGATTCTCCTGCACTTTTTAGCAGAACAGGACTGAGCAGCTTCGTGTAGCATGGGA